TTATAAACTAAATCTCACTTCTCTAATTTGTGTTTAAAGTTTAAACATACAAAAGTAGAATTTGGCAGCCAGCATTTTACTTAGTAACATAAAATTCAAAAGAGAGCATAACCACAATTTAAAAAGAGGTGAAACCATTTAGTTTTAAAAAACATAAACAGTAATAAATACTTGTTCATCATTCAAGCATGGCCTTTGCAGCATCTATTAATATTGGTCTAAACTCAACTGTAGCTCGACCAAGCACTGTGTACCCTTCCTTGTCCACCACATCAACATCTGCTCCATGTCTTATCAGGAGGAGGGATGCCTGTAAATGGAACAAGGATTATGAATCTCCATTAACAAAATTGCCAAAACATTTCTTCATCATTGAGGTTAAATCTATTCTATGTATACATTAATTACACAACCTCTAACGCTCGTCGTTGACATCAATTTTGTTCTTTGTGGATGGTGCATAAAGCGGTGAATGAAACAACAAATGTCGCCAACCCCAAAACATTTTCTTTGCTGGTTCAGCACAAGAATTTTAAGGTAGATCACCCTGCACCTTGGTGCATCTAAAATTAAAGTCTAGAGAAGCAAATTAACACCCTGCTGGGTACCTTGAAGTTTCTCACATGCTCCCAAGCAACTTCTCCACGATTATAACTATTTACTATTATCTATTACTAACCAAAATTTCCTCGGTACCAAATACTAGTAAGCCCTGTAATAGGGCCTAGACTAGAACACATGAAGGTGTCAATTCTCATTCTTTATTGTTTTATCTTAAGCAAAACTTGCGTATCTTTATCCACATAATTTGACAAATATTATACAGAAAAACAGATTTCTGAGAACAACTCTACAAAGTCGCCTGTAAACACATTTTTACGGTTACAAACACACACAATAAGCATACCTCTTTGTTATAGCAAATAACAGCATTCATCAGAGGAGTTTGGCCAGCTCTATCAGAAGCATCAACCTCTGCTCCTTCTTCAATTAGAAGTTCACACAGCTCCGAATTCCCAGTGCTGGCTGCCCGATGCAATGGGGTGCAACCAACCTAATCATAGTAAAAGATACATACTAAACTATTAAACATGTCATCTTTAACAATGTGATAATGAAGAAGGAAGGATATTGAAACTGTAGTGCCACAATCATATAAAATCTGCCCATGCTACAACCTTGTCCTTTATATTAATCTTGGCATCATGGGATATGAGTATTTCAGCAATCTTAAACCGGCCTTTGCTGGCAGCATAGTGTAGAGCAGTGCGACCGCCACTATTTTTCATATTAACATCGGCTCCTACCCAAAAGGAAAGACAAAAACATTTGAGATAATTGATGAATATTTTTGCTTTGTATATTAAATGTAATCATTGAAGTATTGATCATTATCACTAAACTGGTGAGCCTTTAAGAACTATTCCACATAATAAAACATGCTGACAACACAGAAAAAAACTACACATTCAGACAACACATATGAAAGGTAAAATAATGGAAATTGAAGCTGACAGCGCTCAAACTAATGTTCATTGCCTTTTACAGTCACATGCTACATCAATTAAGAAGCCTCTCAATAAGTTATTACCAGAAACCTGCCCTGACCCTGGACTAGGGGCAACCATCCCTTCCCCCAAAACTTTCATTTAACTGGAAAAAGTCAACATGCCTAAATGATTTCGTAGTTTTCCTCCACAAAGAAGATATAAAATACCAAATCTTATGCATAACATCTTTATTAAAATTAACTCAGACATGCCAAAATAGGACGAAGCAGAACATGTGTTATGTTGGATTGGATAAAAAGTACTGTATTTTATATTTTTGAAAACAAAACAAAACATTAGATTAAAAATTAAAATATTTTTGTTCAACTGAAATGGGTGGAGCCAAAGTGAATAAGAACAGAACATATTTTTTCATCATGTTTTGTCGTGTTAGATCCTGTTTGTTCATGCACCAAACACAACCTTAAGGTCAGTTAATCACATCACATGCAAGCAAATCAAACTTAAGTCTCACGTATTCACTTATCCGCAATGACATAGCTACAATTCAATTTAGAAAAACAGAACATACAGTTTGGCATGAGGAACAAAAATCAATCTATATGAAGTTAGTAAAGTATTGACCTTTGCTCAGCAATGCCTCCACTATCTCCAAATTCCCAATGCTGGCAGCAGAATGAAGTGGTGTCCACCCTTCTTCATCGGCACTGTTTACCACACTAGCTGAAGCATCAGCTGATAACAGTATCTTCACCACCTGATAAAAAATTCCCATCATACACAGCCATCAAACAATTAATTTCTAACCCCAACCTTATATTAACTATAAACCCTAATTTCTAAATGTTGAATCAGACAAAGCAAAATATAAAAAGAACATATTTTTACTGCAATTGAAGGAGAACTAAGAAGACCCTTTTAAGAATTGTCCCAAAGGGTTGGTGTAAACTCTAATTAAGAACCTTGGAGTGACCGGAAGAAGCTGCCACGTGGAGAAGGGAGCGAGCATCTTCGTTCCTGAGAGAGAGAGCTTTGGAGAGGGTTTGAAGAGAAAGAGTTTGGAAGGTTGAGGAGTCACCGGTTTCAGCGGCTTTGAAAAGATCCTTATCATTGATGGTGTCTTGTTGCTTCTCTTGTTCTTGTTGTGTATCTACTTCCATCTCCATTTTTCTTTTTGGGTTTGTTCTTTGAGGTGAGAATGTTAAAGGGTGGGGATTTCACTTTTATGGTGTTCAATCTTATGTGGGGAGCATAGTATTTGTGTTGTAACTTTTTGATGAAGAAAGGATTAGAAATTGAAGGAAGGGTTTACTTTAAAATTCAGATTAAAAGCTAAAAATTGTACAAAAGGGGGTTTAATGTTATAACTATACAATTTATTTACACTAGCTGCACTGACGGTCATTCTAGTTTGGAATATATATTTTATATACAATAAATATCTAATATGATAAATTATGCTAATAATTCATAGTTAAATATATTTGATTGGGTAATTATTCAATTTTAACGAATAAATTCAAATACAACTGTATTATAAGGAATAATTTGAGACTCACTTTTTTTACTTTATACAGCTATACAAAATTGACTAGTTTGCTCATATTTTATTCACATGTTATCTTTAAATTATTTAGCAGTATGCAACATGATAAATAAATTACTGCTTCAAATTTTAATTATTTTTTAAGAGTAGATATTTTCTAGTTTGTCAATTAAAGCTTATCTTTAGCTAACTAAATATAAATTTAAATTAAACTTTTTAATATGAACTATAATGATGTAGTATTGAGACATTAAATTATTTGCACAAAAATAACATCAATAATTATTAACTAGTAAAAGTAATTGAAACAACACAACTACAAAGATGATAAACGTTGTCAATTAGCTATTAAAAAAAGTAATAGAAATAAGAGAACCTCTTATTGGCAAATTACAAGTGCAGTGCAATCTTTCTAACCTCAACGTGCAAGATTGCATGTCCATGTACAACTTTGCAGAGCTACACTATTCTGAAATAATAGTTGCGAAATGAAAATGTCCTTGGTTACTCTAAGATTTGAGTTGTGGGCATAAATTATGAAAAATGGCCTCTTCTTTGTACGTTATGCTTTTAGCCTTCTTCCTTCTTATGGAGGAGACTGTTATTTACCCTCTAGCCATAGAATTGAAGGTGCCCACCAAATCAAATGCTTAAGATTTCATTTCCTTAATGTCATGTTCAACTATATACAAATCAAAGGAAGACATTTTACTGAAAGATATAGGCTTGTTGTGATATCAAAAAGAATTATGATAGCAGTTAATTGAGTTAAATTTCATTTTCAGTTAAATTTCACATGTTGTGGTTAGGAGGAAAATGGTATTTTTTTAAGTGCCACCAAAGCAAAATTAGATCCAATCATGGGACCAAACGATTTTATAAAAACTTTTTAGGTAAAAATGAAAGATATATTTACCCAAAAAACTAAATACACGTGTTTTTCTAGAACATAATCATAGGACATCCAGTTGACATTAAAAAAATAAAAAAACAGTAAATTACATTCACAATGAGTGAAATTATACAAATCACCCCTCAATTTTTTGTTATTACACGAACTATCCTAATTTTGTACATATGTTACATTGAATACCCATGCGTAATATAAAAGTGTAATATTTTAAACAAAAAATGTGTGACGTGTGTAATTAAGTTAAATAAAATATTGTATATTGTGTAGACAAATTCAAATAATATGAGAGTCGATGTGTCTTCATTATTTGGCTCCTTAAAAAATATTATAAGAGTTATTTAAATTAATTACACTCACCACACGTTTTTTGTTTAAAATATTACACTTTTATAACATACAGGGGTAGTCAGTGTAATATATATACAAAACTATGGGTGATTCATGTAGGAGGCATGTGTGGTTCGTGTAAATACAAAACAATTAGAGGTGATTTGTGTAATTTTACTAAAACTTATGGGTGAGTTTAATTTACTCTTAAAAAAATCATATTCATCATTCTTTCCTATATTTCAGTCAAAACATTAATTAAACACTAAGCTAAGTTTTTCTATAAGAAATGTTTGTCAGCTGAACCAAGTTTAGATCTTTGCAAATCCCTCTAACTTTCCATTATATTTGTCTTTGAATCTGGGTTTTTGCATTTGCTGCTATCCATTTCAGCATTTTGGAAAACCCTTTTGTTCTATCCTTTTTTGCAATCTGGGGCTGACAGAATTGTACTAATTTGATGCTGCCACACATTTCCACCATCTACACAATTGCAACGGTTACATTTTCTGAAATCTGATTGAAAATAAATCATAAATGCAACCAGCAATTTTTGTTGAAAACTTATCAAAATCGACAGCAAATTCTGCAATACAGTTAAAATAGACCACAAATGCAAAACCTGTAACATTGCATGGAATATGAAAACATTACCATTGAAGATAATAAATAACAGTGATTAAGAAAAAGTTCATTTTAAACAGGTTGGCTCAAAGGGGTGACCTGAGAACACAAAGTAAATTAGTGATATGCAAAAATATCTGATATCAACAGATAATATTTTTCAATTCAAACCATTTCACTCTGTGTTCTCAGATTCACTCCTCTGAGACAAACCATCTTCTAAGTGGACCAATTTATTGAGTGAAACTGTATACATTTATGAGTTTAGGATGTTTCATTTTATATGAATCAGATTGGGGAGATACATGAAATAATATCTGATTCACTTCATTATGTTGTCATTTTATCAACAACATACGAGATATGTCCTCATCTTTTGTACATTATTGGAAAGAATGGTGTTACATTTTCTTATTGGGTACATGAATGATGTTACATTTACTTGCAATTACATTATATCTTTATAGCTTTCCTTTTCTTTTCACTTAATTATATTATTATTACAATTACAATATTGTATTTTGATTTTAATACTTAGTTAAGAATTGTGAGGCATTATGAGTTGTAGTTAAGTGCACCATTTATTTTCCTAATGAATACTTTAGTATAGGGTAACTTACCGTTATCTATATTACAGGGAACTAGGGAAAATAAAATAGACTAAAGATGCTGTCATTCTAAATCTAATGGCTAAAATGGCAATGCCCGTCAACATCTATGACACACGACGCTATCAATTTTTATAAAATGAAGGGAATCAAATTGGGACACCTTCCAATAAGACAAAATGTGGAGATATTAATTTGTTTATGCGGTAATATTTATGTATTATTATTGTAATGATTATACACAATCAGTAATAATAAAATATAAATAGTAGATTATACTTTAACAATGTATAAAATTGATAGTACACATTTTTTTTGTCTTCCATCAAATGCAGACTCTTAAATGAAGTCCTTTTAAACCGATAAAAAATGTTAGGCACGTGATCACATTTTTAATCTGTTGCTAATACAATAACGATTATAGTTAAGAAGCATTTAATATTAAACTATATCCATTAATACAACAATTTTGACACAACTAGACATGAATAATTAATTTGTTATTATTTTTGAAAATAAAAATTGCATCGAATGTATCAATGTTTTGAAAATCGGATCATACCAGTTGGTTCAATTAGAAATTTGGTGAATGATTCCTCATATTGGTACAATATAGTAACTGTATCAATTATGCTATCATATCAGTTAAAATTGGCCAAAATCACATATACATATCGATTTTGAATTCAACTGTATCAACCAATTTTTATTTAAAGTTAATATTACAATTATTATCTACCATCAAGTCATACATTTTGTTAAAATTTTGTTTTAATAAAATGATGTAAATAAAAGTAGTTATCGTCTTCTTTATTAACTTTTTAACATTAATAGTAATATAATATATGTGTATATCCAATTTTACTATTATATAATTTAATTAGTGAATCGACATATCACCCTATTAATATTAATATTGTGACCACTTTAATGACCAATCCTCTATTAATTACACTTTCAATATATTCAAACCTCTCCCACAAAAAAAAACTTGCTACACACACAAAATATCTTCATTACCATCCATAGAAAGATGTTGCACGTTTATGTTTAATGTCTATTTTTTGATAAATTCAATCATAATATTAATATTAAATATCTTTTATTTATTATTATGACATTAACTTGAGATAAAAATTTTACCCATCTTTTTGGGACGATATACTTATCAAACATTTTTATTACATGAATACTATATCATATTTTTAGTAATCGAAAAATATAACTTATCTCATAATATGAAAAAATAGTTTATTCTCTAGAGTAAAACACATTAAAAAAAAATTCCAATACCAAACATTGTATTCGATATAAGAGTGAAACTAAGTTATATTTGGCTTGATTTTAATTTTCATAAATTTGTAACATGTCATTATAAACTTAGTTACATAGTATGAGAAGTCACATCTAATATCCCAAAATTTGTATCACTCCATATACTTATATTTTTCGTTACTCAGACAATGTGCTCCCCAAGTATTGAAGGGACTTGAAGGTGGACCTCAACAATTTATAAATTTGACTTTACTCAAAGCTGAATGTAATTAGTTAAAAACAAATTATTTAAATATTTTGTGAATTTTTTTCCAATTTTGAATTGATATTTTTGACAAAATTCTTTCATATATGAAAATTAATTAAACCTTTTTTCAGAAGTCTAGGTGATTGAATACTTATCAAATAAGTAGGTTAGAGCTGACCACTAAAAAATTATATAAAATATTTGTAAGTTATAAATAAGTTAATAGATTTTAAATATGTCATCTAACCTATATTTTTGTGATCTAATTTGTTTTTTGGACATGTAAGAAAAAATTTGTCATTTTTGAATAGGCAATATGTTATGATTTATAAAAGTTGAGGTGAGTAGGATCTCATAAATATATCAAGAAAAAATATTCCATTCTTACAACCATATAAATACTTACAAAAAAATATTTATATTGTACTCATCAATGAGCCATAGACAATTTTTCATGAAGTGGACTAACATTGTTGAGTGAAATAGAAGAAATCCAAATAGATTAAAAAAGAGCATGCAAACAAACTTGAAAAGAAGAAACATAATTTGGTTATAAAAATCTCCCATTCCAATACAATAATTTCTAAAAAAAAATACTAAAATGTCCATAAAAAATTTCTTCGAAAAAAAACTAATTGAAACCACATTCAAGATTTTAGAGTATGAACTATGAAGTTGGGATTTTTAATTTTTTAAATTGCATGTGGCCATATGTTTTTTAAGGAAATGAATATTAGGTTTTTTCTCTCAACAACATAGAAATTATAAAAATCCGAATAAAAGGGAGATTTGACCGTGTTGTGTGCTCTGAAATTCTGTTTCTTAACATTGACAACATCAACGCGAAACTGAGATAACAAACCCCCCTTTACGACGTCGTTTCCAATGTTCTTGTCCTAGTATATATTCCCCTGCTCCTTCATCTTTCATCTAGAGCGCGATCTTCCTCAATCGATATTCTCTTTCTCCCCCCTTTCCGAATTCGTTCATACACTTAACGTTGAAGGTGAAATATTTTTCTCTCAATTTGCGTTTATACTCGTAGATTCAGTTAATTTAATTCGAATATTTATTAAAATCGATATTATGTAATATGTGTTGTGATTGAAGTTGGTAGAAACAGTTATAGTGCTATTTCATTGTTTTATTTTAATCCTTTGATATATGTTAGAAATGAGATTCATTTACTGAGTAATTATGAGTTATAAGCTGTTGTGTTAATCAACTATGGGTTATGTGAATTGAAAATGGCAAGTTAGCTATGTGAAATGAAAACATAACATGTAATTTGAAGACTGTGGTGAAGTGGCAGGGTAACGGTTTTGCAGTATGTTTTGTCGGTGGCGCTCACCAAACCAAAGTTTTTTCAGAATAATTTTAATCATATGGTTTCATACAGATTATGCTTCTTAGTAATGGTAGATATGATACTGCTAAACTGTGGAGTTAGAATCAGTTGAATCATACGATTTGACTCTTGATTCTTCACAAATTAATGAGCATCCAATACAGTTTGTTTGATGTATAAATTTTGCACAAGTATCGTATCATGCTTGAATCATATGTATCGGAGTTGAAATCGTGAAATTGCAATTCAGAAACAATCTGTGTAATTCACGAAACATCGGGCTACCCTCTGAAATGGGTTGGGCCATGCACAACCCGGTTATGGAGAAGAGAATCTAGGGTTTGTTTCACATGCTTTCTTAAGTTGAGACTGGGTTACACAGGAAATGAGTCGGGCAGAATCTCGTGGTTCTATCAATGGGTCTAATTGTCTTGGATGTTAGATTGTGCTTAATTTTTTTTGCTGTGTTTTATGTACTATTCATAAGTTTATATATATATATATACTACCAGTGTTTGGAAGTATGATAGTTTTTATTTTTGCATGTAAAATCTTAATATCTTCTCAAGGGTTGATTTTGTTGCAGGTTTTATTGAGATTGAATTCGTTTGATAGTCAACGGAAAGAGTAATGGTTGAGTTTCATGGAAGAGTGTTTCCTTGTTCGGCAGTGGCTTGTATACTAATGTTTCATTGATTGCTGCCTTTGCATTGCAAACTTGTTCATCATTGTCCATGATGTGGAGTTTTGCATCAAATGCCTTATCAAGCATTAGGAAAAGAAGCTCTGGAGACCTAAGTCAAACTTGTGCCGAAGGCTCAGATGATGATGTGTGCTCTAATGCGAGCAGAGATGAAGTGCTGGAATGCCCAATATGTTGGGAATCTTTCAACATAGTTGAGAATGTGCCTTATGTCTTATGGTGTGGCCACACACTCTGTAAAAATTGTGTCCTAGGACTTCAGTGGTCTGTGCTGAAATTTCCTACTCAACAAGTCAAAGTTCCATTCTTCATTTCTTGTCCATGGTGCCATTTATTATCACTCCGGTTGGTTTATAAAGGAAATCTTAAATACCCTTGCAAGAACTTCTTCCTTCTTTGGATGGTTGAAAGCCGAAATGGTGATAGACAAAAGGTTGTTTCCACTTGTGTGGATAGCCAACAAATTTGGTCTTCCAAGAGCAACCTTCTGGGAAATCAAGCTACTAATTGCAACCTTAGAAGGGCTTCAACAAGTCACTCTGGATCATGGGGATCTAACAGTGATGTTGGTGGTAGTGATGGTGCGAGAAACCATTTTTCCCTTCATAAATCTCTTGATTTCTTCCTTCACTTTACATCAAAATTTCCATTGATCATCATTTTCCTTCTGATTGCCTTTTTTGTGGTTCCCTGCAGTGCTATTATTTTAGTCATTTACTTGCTAGTAACTATTCTTTTTGCTATCCCATCATTCCTCATACTGTATTTTGCATACCCTACAATCCAGAGGCTGATAAGAGAAATAACTTCTTGAGATGTAGTCTCACTTCCACAGCTCCAACTTCTGCAAATTCAGTATATGCTGATGGATTGTTTGTTCTAAATCTTGGTATTTTCTGTTATTTTTACCGTTTTTATAGCGTGTTATTTTCCTTCAGTAAGCTATGTTCATATCAACTTTGAGTTGAACATGTTGAGAGGCACTTTATTTTTTAGCAGTTGTAGTTTTTTTTTTTTTTTGTACCCGAGGTG